GCAGGTTGAGGCTGCAGTGGCCAGGAGCGGCCACTGCACTCCAGTCTGGGTGACAGAGTGAGACTCCAACTCAAAAGAAAAAAATACTTTTTATTGTGAAATAGTTTCAGACTATTCTTGCTTTATCATTCCCTACCCCTTGTCCCCTGTGTATGTAGTATATATGTACATTTTTTCTTTTCCCTGAAATGTTTGAGAGCAACTTGCAGACTTGATGACCTTTTACTTTTAAATATTTCAGCCCTTTTCCTACAAGGACATTTTCTTAATTAACTACAGTACAATTGTTAAAAACCTAGAAATTAATATTGATAAACTACTGTATTGAATCTGTTAATTCTGTTCAAGTTTTACTGATTGATCCACTAATTTTGTTTTTTAATTTTAAGAGAAATATTTAATGGTTCATTTTGCTTGATTACAGCCTCTGTCACTGTGAGAACTCTGCCCCAAGCCACTTCCTACAGCCCTTAAAGAAACTGCCACTTAGAACCTTTCACACAGGTAAGTAGCAAGAGATGAGGCTGGCCCTCTCTGTGCCTCAGTTTGCTCATCTGTAAATTGGGACAAAGAGTGGCTGTTAGAATTAAGTGAATTAGTATGTGTAAAGTGCTTAGAGTGTCTGGCATGCAGCTATCACTGAAGCATTAGCTATTTTTATCTTATCCTTTTTACCAGCTGCATAGTATTGTGTTATATGACTGTAGCATTTGATGTTGGACATTTAAGTTGTTTTTAATCTTTTTCTACTATAGTTCTGTAGTAACATATTGGGGCATCGAGAGGATAAACTTGTAGAGGGAGGGTTGCTGGGTCAAAAGGTATGTGTATTTTACATTTTGGCATTTAGACCAAATTGCTCTTCAGAGAGAGTTGTCCCTGTTTACATTTACAAGAGCAGGAAGTGCATGTAAATATGCCAGTTCCCCACACCCTTAGTAATACTATGGGTTATAAACTTTTTGATTTTTTAAGAAGCTATTTGGGCCAGGCTCAGTGGCTCAGCCTGTAATCCCGCAGTTTGGGAGGCCGAAGTGAGTGAAATGCCTGAGCCTGAGGGTTCGAGACCCGCCTGGGCAACTTGGCAAAACCTCATCTCTACCATAAATCAAAAAATCCGCCGGGTGTGGTAGCGTGTGCCTGTAATTCCGGCTACTTGGAAGACTGAGGCGGAAGGATTGCTGGAACCCAGCAGGTCGAGGCTGCAGTGGCCAGGAGCGGCCACTGCACTCCAGTCTGGGCTACAGAGTGAGACTCTGACTCAAAAAAATAGAAGCTATTTGAACTTGTATAAAGATGTGCATTGTCTTTATTATCTGAATATCCTTTTGATTCCATCATACTAAAGCTATTTTTTACTGCCCAATAAGACCACTTTGGGAATAAAATGAAATGCTTAATGAGAATAGCACCAAGAAGCTTATTACCAGTATTATAGTTAATAGGAAAATATCTGGATGTTACTTATTTAATTAGAAATTGCATGCTGGATGGAACACCCAGGAATAACCTGAAGAGTGGAAAGAGAGCCTCAGAAATTAAGCTATAATCTTGAATCTGTAGAAGAGCAGCCACTGTGCCTTTGTAAAGTGCTAAAACCAGTGGGGGAAGTGGTCAGGAATGGGTGGCAAGCTCTAATTGCTACTTTCTTTTGCCAGAGTAAAGTAAAACTTAGAGAAGGCAGGAGAGACCTATAACTTGAAGAAAGCACCAGCATAGCAGAAAGCATTTGGTAGAGTGTGACAAGTCGGTATAATTTGCTAGCTCAGTGCAGAGAGGGTATAGCCATTCTCTTGTCACCAAATAGTTCAGAAAGAAAAAACAGTTTCTAGCTTTTTGAGAAGTCTTTCTTGGTCAGAGATACAGTATTTAGTTATTACATCAGTAAGTGTTTCTTAGGAATAATTAGACAATGGAAGAGGCAATGACATCCACACTAACTCATCAAAAAAAAAAAAAAGCTGGGTGTGGTGGCTCATGCCTATAATGTCAGCACTGGGAGGCTGAGGTGAGAGGATTGCCTGAGCCCATGGTTTGAGGCCAGACTGGGCAACATGGTGAGACCTCATCTCTACAATAAATCAAAAAAATTAGCAGGACATGGTGGCACATGCCAGTAGTTCTAGCTGCTTGGAAGTTTGAAGTGGAAGTATTGCCTGAGCCCAGCAGTTGAGGCTTCAGTGGCTGTGAGCGTGCCATTGCACTCCAGCCTGGGCAACAGAATAAGACTCCAACTAAAAAACAAGCAAAAAAGCCCCCCAAAACTAACAAAAACCAAAACACAGTGATATGGTGAGCAAGATTATTTCCTTCTGTCTGGAAGTCAAAGGCAGTACAAAGATTATGCTCTTTGGTTTTACACAGGCTGCTGATAATTTAGCTGTTGAGTCTTTGTTTTTGCTTTGTTTTTGTATATATTTTAGTTATACAACATGTTTTTATATACTTGATATGCATATTTATAGTGAAGTTATTGCCACAGTCAAGTAAAGTGATGTATCCATCATTTCATATAGTTACCTTTCTTTTATTTATTTTTGTGGTAAAAGTACCTAAAATCTACTCTCTTGACAAATTACCAGTATATATTATAATATTATTATTGTTATTATTTTTAGAGACAAAAACTTCCTGTTTTCAGTTGCCCACTCGGGAGTACAGTGGCGCAATCATAGCTCACTGCAGCCTTGAACTCCTGGGCTCAAACCTCCGAAGTAGCTAAGCAGCTACAGGTGCATGCCATCACACCCAGCTCATTTATTTATTTTTACTTTTCGTAAAGATGCTCTGTTGCCTAGGCTACCAAACATGCAATACTATTAACTGTCATCCTCGTGTAGTATATTAGATCTTGAGGTTTATTCATCCTACATAACTGCAGCTTTGTACCCTTTGATCTGTATCTTCCCACCCCCTCCATCATTTTACTCTGTTGCTATGTATTCAAGTCTTTATTTTCTTAGATTCTTTGTATAAGTAAGATCATGCATTGTTTTTCTTTCTGTGTCTGGCTTATTTCACTTAATGTAATGTCCTCTAGTTTTGTCTATGTTGTTGCAAATGGCAAGATCTTTTTTTTTTTTTGAGTAGGAGTCTCACTCTGTCGCCCAGACTGGAGTGCAGTGGCCGCTCCCGGCCACCGCAGCCTCGACCTGCTGGGCTCCGGCGATCCTTCCGCCTCAGCCTTCCAAGTAGCTGGAATTACAGGCATGCGCTACCACGCCCGGCTGATTTTTTGATTTATTGTAGAGATGAGGTCTTGCTGCCCAGGCGGGTCTCGATCCTGCGGGCTCAGGCAATCCACTCACCTCAGTCTCCCAAAGGCGCGGGATTACAGGCTGAGCCACCGAGCCCGGCTCTTTGTATTTTTAAGGCTGAATTCCATTGTGTGTGTGTGTGTGTGTGTGTGTGTGTGTGTGTGTGTGTGTGTGTGTGTGAGATTTAAAACATAACAGCTTTATTGAGATACAGTTCACATACCATAAAAGTCACCTTTTGCCAGGCGTGGTAGCTCAAGCCTGTAATCCCAGCACTTTGGGAGGCTGAGGCGAGAGGATTGCCTGAGCCCAGGGGTTTGAGACCGGCCTGGGCAACTTGCTGAGACCACGTCTCTACAATTAAAAAAAAGAAAAATTCAGCTGGACATGGTGGCGCGTGCCTGTAGTTCCAGCTACTTGGAAGGCTGAGGCGGAAGGATTGCCTGAGACCAGCAGGTCAAGGCTGTAGTGGCCATGAGCATGCCACTGCACTCCAGCCTGGGCGACAGAGTGAGACTCCAACTCAAAAAAAAGTCACCTTTTAAGTGTGCTGTTCAGTGGTTTTTAGTATTTTCAGTTGTGCAGACATCATTACTATCTAATTATAGAACATTTTCATTTCTTCCTTGCCCCTCCCAATAAAAATATATTACCCATTAAGCTGTCACATGCCATTTCTTCCTACCTATAGATTTGTCTTTTCTGGACATTTTTTTTTTTTAGTTGGAGTCTCATACCATCGCCCAGGCTGGGGCGCAGTGGCACGCTCACAGCCACCCCAGCATCAACCTGCTGGACTCCAGCGATCCCTCTGCCTCAGCCTTCCAAGTAGCCAGAACTACAGGTGTGCGTTCCTGGACATTTCTTTTTTTTTTTTTGAGTTGGAGTCTCACTTTGTCGCCAGTCTCGAACCCGCAGGCTCAGGCAATCCACTCACCTCAGCCTTCCAAGGCGCGCGATTACAGGCTGAGCCACCGAGCCCGGCTTTGGACATTTCTTTTCAACAGAATCATATAATATGCAGCCATTTGTGGCTGGCTTTTCTTCACATATTGTTTTCAAGGTTCATGCTCTAACGTGTATATTCAGTACTTCATTCCTTTTTATTATTAAATCATATTCCATTATATGGTCATACCACATTTTAATTATCCATTCATCAGTTGATAGACATTTGGGTTGTTTACACTTTTCAGCTATTATGAATAATGCTGCTGTGAACATTATAAGTTTTTGTGTGCACATATGTTTTCAGTTCTCTTAGGTATGTATCTAAGAGTGGAATTACTGGGTCATATGGTAACTTAATGTTTAATATTTTGAGGAGCTACCAAACTTTTAAATCTTTTTATTGTAACTATTCTGATGAGTGTAAAGGGGTATCTCAGTGTGGTTTTGTTTTGCATTTCCCTGATCACTAGTGATATATTGGTTTGCTGTTGTAACAAAGTACCACAGACTGGGTCACTTAAAACATCAGAAATTTGTCTCACAGTTCTAGAGGCTAAAAGTCAGATCAAGATGTCAGCAGAGTTACTGTCTTCTGAGGGCTTTGAGGGAGAATCTGTTCTGTGCCTCTTGCCTGGTTTCTAAAGGCTCACTGGCTTTCTCTCCTTGCATATAGAAGCATTACTTTGATCTCTGCCTTCATCTTCACCTAGTCTTCTCCCTGTGTGCATGTCTGTTTCCAAATTTTCCCTTTGTATAATACCCATCATATTGGATTTAGGCCCACCCTAACAACCTCATTTTAACTCGTTAATCTCTATATAAGCCCTGTTTCCATATTCTGAGGTACTAGGGGTTAGGACTTCAACATAAGAATTTTGAGGAGTCACAATTCAAGTCATAACAGATGTTTAATGTCTGTCTTTTCATGTGCTTATTGGTGATTTGTATGTCTTTGGACGGATGTCTGTTCAAATCTTTTGTACATTTTGAAATTGGGCTATTTGTCTTTTTATTGTTGAGTTGTAAGAGTTTAAAAGATTTTGCGCATGAGAATGTCAGTGCCAGTTCAGAATTGGGCCTGGTTTATAAAAGCAAGATCAAAGAGTCCTGGGTGAGAACTGTTATCTGGCTCCAAGTCCTGGACCTGTCAGTGGCCATTTGGGCAACCTTGATTCGTTTCTTGACCTCTTTACAATTCAGTGTTTTCATCTTAAATTCTGTGATTGTGGTGACAATTGAGGTGCATTGTAGTTCCACAGGAAAGATGTCTGTTCTTTATTATTGATAGAATTTGGAGAAGAGTCTTAGTAGTGACTCAAGGTTGCACCTGCCTGTCAGATACTGTGAGGGTCCAGTCACCTTTACTGAGGGCTTGTGAGATGCATTGACTTTTCCTGGCCCTTCTGCTTGTGTTGTATTCGAATGACTGTACTCTAGTCCTATCTCCTAGGCTAAAAAATTTCTTGTTTTTTGTTACAGGTACCAGAAAAGTTCACACTGCCCCTGCCCGAACGTTGTTCCTACTGCGCCCCTTGCCCATTCTGTTGGCGACAGGTGGCGGGTATGCAGGGTACCGGCAGTATGAGAAGCACAGGGAGCGAGAGCTGGAGAAACTGGGATTGGAGATCCCACCCAAACTCGCTGGTCACTGGGAGGTAGGAATGAGGCGGAACCACCTTGGGTTCCTGTCTAGCACAACTGTCTGTTGCTTTTCAAGTTGTCCCAAAGTTGAAATGTTTGAACAAGTTGAATATGCTTTCTCAGAGCTCATGTCTCCAGTGGGTTTTGGCCAGATACAGGAGTTTATGCCTTGTATTGTACAGACATCCTGGCTGCTCTGCTGTTCTTGCCCTTCTCATCCTGAGGAGGGCTAAAATTGTTGGACTTTTGTGATGTGGATTAGTTCTCACCAGGAACTAAAATGAAATAATCAAATTCTTTTATCTTTGTTGCTCAGAACTCTCCTCTGACATCATACACTATAGGACAGCCTACATTTTTGTTAAACCATACATGATATGTAATGAAACGTGTTGGTTGGTTATGCTTCCTGTGGCCCAGGACAATGCCTGCCTCAGGGGAGGCATTCAGTAAATATTTAAGTGGAATATAAAAGTGTAAGTGTAAAAAATGCCTTCTTTTTAGCAATAATTTAATGAATGAGTACTCTAAATATTAAAGGACCAGTGATAGGCCCCAATATCCTGGGCAAAAAAAGAGGTGAGAGTTGAGGCTTTATGATCTTTGGAATGAAATGGTTCATTTGGATGTCCTCATGATCTGCTCCATATCATTAATCCAACTGAGCTGAATCCAGTCTAAGAGGACCTACAGTGACGGGACATCAGGGTCCTCAGTAGCTATGTGAACTTGGACATATCACTCTCTGTCTGATCCTCTGTGTCTTTAACTGTAAAACAGTAGGTTAGATTGGAACAAGAAACTGAGATTCTTTCCAACTCTAACATAGTTTGTCTAGGGATCTCTGCTGCCATTGGCATTACAGCCTACATTATAGGCTTCTTTCCAAAATCCCTTGTTTGGATTTTGAGTTTTGACCACTTTCCTACAATAGAATCCAGTGTAAGGATTTCACCTGATTTCTTTTTTTTTCTTTCTTTCTGTTTTTTTTGAGTTGGAGTCTCACTCTGTCACCTAGACTGGAGTGCAGTGGCTGCTCCCGGCCACCGTAGCCTTGACCTGCTGGGCTCTGGCGATCCGTCCGCCTCAGCCTTCCAAATAGCTGGAACTACAGGCACGCGCTACCACACCCGGCTAATTTTTTTATTTATTGTAGAGATGAGGTCTCGCCAAGTTGCCCAGGCGGGTCTCGAACTCGCGGGCTCAGGCAGTCCACTCACCTCGGCCTCCCAAAGTGCTGGGATTACAGGCTGAGCCACCGAGCTTGGCCGACTTTCACTTGATTTCTAAAAGTCCTGTAAAACTGTGTCTTAATCACCTGCCCATTCAGATTCTGATGTGTCAGTTACTTAAGAGATGTCTATCTGCCCATTATGCCCATGTGCCTACCCTTTGGCCTATTCATACACCTTGGACTTTATATTAACCTATTTCAACAAAAAAAAAAAATTTTTTTTTCTGATAGTATATCACAAAATCTTTTTGATGAAGGGTAATTGTGTAGTGTGTGAATCATAATTTCAAAGTATTCTGCACTGTTTCCCATGACATTGGTGGTTTCCTCTGTAAACATATCATTCTTCAGTAGATTCTGAAAGTACTTATGTGAGTAGCATAGGACTATGATGGTATGACCTCCTCTCAAGTGTTAGACCCAAGCTCAAGCTAGCATCTTTCTGACTCCAAGCATTTGTCAGGCTGACTCAGCATGTGATGAGCTTGCAAGCTTTCAGTAAATTCCCACCCATTTCAAAGGTATCACAAGAAAGTCCAAATTTGGAAGAAATCTGCCACTTCCAAAATCATGGAAGATCAATACCAATAGTCCTTTAATATCCACTGTTTATGTAATTGGAATTATTGCCATATATAAGTTTCATACCCAAAAATTGACTGTAAAGAGGATAGGTTGATTGTCATAAGTTTTAGGGCCTCAACAGTGACAGGACACTGGAGTCGAGTGCCCAAGTGTAGTGTGAGTACTCATGGCACTTACTGGCAAAGAATTGGACTTAAGTTAGATACTGTTTTTTTTTTGGTTGAATAAAGTGGACACAGGACCACTCCTAGATTTTCAGGTAGGACCCCCGTATTTCATTTTATGAAAGGGAAATGGTTTGGATCAGTTGACCTTACAGATTGAGCATCACTTATACAAAATGCTTGGGACCAGTGTTTCAGATTTTTTCATATTTTTTAATATTTGCATATACATTTTGATATCTATCTTTGGGATGGGACCCAAGTCTAAACATGAAATTTATTTAAGTTGTTATATGCATAGCAAGTTTTGACTGTGACCCATCACATGAGGCCTCGTGTGGAATTTTCCACTTGTGATGTCATGTTGGTGCCCAAAAAGTTTCAGATTTTTGAGATTGGAGTACTCAAGATTTTAAGAGTTGCAGCAGTTTGAGAGAGAGTCCTGAACTGGTAGTTAGGGACTGGGCCCTAGTCTCAACTTTAACTACATCTGTTCGCTGACATCGAGTGAAAAATGAGAGATTTTCCAAATCTAACTGATCATCAGAATTGTTAGAGAGCTTTAAAAATTATGAATTCTTTAGTTCTCATCTCTGGAAATTTAGAGTTTGGGCAAAACTCAGATCTGTGTTTTTAAGAAGTCCCTCTAGGTGAGTCTGTTGACAAACCAGATTTTGGAACTATGGGCAGATGAACTGTAAGAGTTTCTTCAGGGCTCCGTTTTTTGTTTTTTGGGTTTTTTTGAGTTGGAGTGTCACTCCATCGCCCAGGCTGGCTCATGGCCACCCCACAGTTGACCTGCTCAGCTCCTGCGATCCTTCTGCCTCAGCCCTCCAAGTAGCTAAAACTACAGGTGCATCCCACCATGCCTGGCTAATTTTGAATTTATTGTAGAGACGAGGTCTCACCAAGTTGCCCGGGCTGTTCTCGAACCCACGGGCTCAGGCAATCCACTTGCCTCGGCCTCCCAAAGTACTGGGATTACGGGCTGAACCACTGAGCCCTGCAGGGCTCCATTTTGTTTTTGTTTTTGTTTTTGAGTTGGAGTCTCACTCTGTCACCCAGACTGGAGTGCAGTGGCCATTCCCGGCCACAGCAGCCTCTACCTGCTGGGCTCCAGCGATCCTTCCACTTCAGCCTTCCAAGTAGCTGAAACTACAGGCGCACGCTACCATGCCCGGCTAATTTTTTATTTATTGTAGAGATGACGTCTTGCCAAGTTGCCCAGGTGGGTCTTGAACCCGCGGGCTCAGGCAATCCACTCACCTCAGCCTCCCAAAGCACTGGGATTACAGGCTGAGCCACTGAGCCCAGCTGCAGGGTTCCATTTTTAAATGGCAGATACAAATTTCTGGTGATGATTTTGCTGGAATATAATCTCTTAATATCTCCGACCGAGATCAAGTCTGGCATCTCCAAAGGTGAGAAAGAAGACAGGCTGGTAGTTGCTGTTAAAATGAGCCCCTGGGGTCAGTGGCACAGTTCGGGCAATAGGATGTTATTGCTTTACCAAAAACAGCATTTTTTGGATTTCTAGGAGATAAAACATTCCTATTAGCTCCTGTAGGTGAGTGTACCAGCAAGAAGCCTTTGTTTCCCTTTACCGTCATGTAAATTTCTGTTGTACCAGAGAAACCTTTGGTTATCCATCTGTATCAGAAATTTTAAGAGGATGTTTGTAATACCTTATGTCTGAAAAGCACTTAAGTTTTTCTGAAACCTTTCAGTTCATTATTTTGTTAAGATTTTCCAACAGTCTCACTGAAGTGGGCAGGGCAGATTTATAGCCATTTTATATGTGGAAAAAACTAGTTGATAGCAGAGTGGGTACCAGAACTAAGATCTGGTGATACCAAATCCCATACTGTTTCAACAGAATCCTGTTGCTAGTAAAAGATGTTAGTGATAAGATTTGACAGTGATATTGAAAAAGAGAGGCAAGCTCCTTACCCACCAGGGCTTGCTGTGTAATTGAGATACCTTAATTATGTGATTGTCTAAAAGTGTGGGATGAGGCCAGGCTCGGTGGCTCAACCTATAATCCTAGCACTTTGGGAGAGTGAGGCAAGTGGATTGCCTGAGCCCACAGGTTCAAGACCCACCTGGGCTACTTGGTGAGACCTCATCTCTACAATAAATTAAAAATTAGCCGGGTGTGGTAGTGCACGCCTGTAGTTCTAGCTACTTGGAAGGCTGTGGTGGAAGCATTGCCAGAGCCCAGCAGGTCGAGGCTGCGGTGGCCAGGAGCATGCCATTGCACTCCAGTCTGGGCGACAGAGTGAGACTCCAACTCAAAAAAATAAAAATAAAAAAATAAAAGTGTGGGATGAATTGACTATGGCCTGAAATGTCTGTGATTATGCAGGTGAACATTCACATGCATAGTACTCTTTTTTTTTTTTTTGAGTTGGAGTCTTACTCCGTCACCCAGGCTGGAATGCAGTGGCACACTCATGGCCACCCAGCATTGACCTGCTGGGCTCCAGCGATCCCTCTGCCCCAGCCTTCCAAATAGCCAGAACTATAGGCTCACGTTCCCATACCCGGCTAATTTTTTGATTTATTGTGGAGACGAGGTCTTGCCAAGTTGCTGGGGCTGGTCTCTAACCCACAGACTCAGGCAATCCACTCTTCTTGACTCCCAGAGTGCTGGGATTACAGGTTGAGCCACCGAGCCTGGCCATACATAGTAATCTTAAATAATTTATCTTTTCTTCTTCTTTTTTTTGAGTTGGAGTCTCATTCTATTGTCCAGACTGGAGTGCAGTGTTACATTCATAGTCACCCCAGTGTCAAGCTGCTGGGCTCAGGCAATCCTTCCACCTCAGCCATCCAAGTAGCCAGGACTACAGGTGTGCACTACCATGCCGGGCTAATTTTTTGATTTATTGTAGATATGAGATCTCGCCAAGTCACCTAGGCTGTTCTTGAACTCGTGGACTCAGGCAATCCCCTCACTTTGGCCTCCCAAAGTACTGGGATTACAGGCTTGAGTCACCGTGCCTGACTCTTCTTCATTTAAATAGAATTTTTTTTTTTTTTGGTAACAGTATAGAATAGCTCATAGCTCCAAAATCTCTGCCTTTTCACTCACTACAAGCTGTGGGTGCAGGTGTCAGGGGTACGTCTGAGTGGAAGGAGGGCCCTGAGTGGTCCAGCTCTTGCCAAAGGGCATTGAGGAGGGAGCACTCAGTGGGAGCAAGGAACCTTGAGCTCTCCGTATTGTCAGCTGTGTAACATTGGCTAAGTTGTTTCATCTTCCTGGGTTCTGTTTTTACACAGGCAAGAAAGTGTTTCCAAAATACTTGCCTGCTCTGAGGTTAATGTTCTTTTTGCAGCAGAATAAAAAGTTCATGCAGTTGGCTCAGCAGAAATGAAATCCATGTATCTGCTGTTAAAAAATTTTGTAACTAGCAGCAAAGTAACCTGTGTAGAACTTTACTTCTCTCCTTTTTACAAGGAGTGTTTTCTGAATTCTCCCTTGCAGCTTTCAGAAACATCTAGGTTCCAGCATCTCCACTTTCTCTCTCTCTGTATGTATCACTTGCATTATGTAGAAATAGCTTTATCCTTTTTTAATTATAAAAGTATCATTAAAAAAATCAGAAAGTGTTACAAAATAAGACAAAAACATTGATGACCTATAATTCTACAACCCACAAGATACCACGGTTATATTTTGGTGAACATAGTCCAGGTTTTTGCTGTGTTTAGGAATATGTGTTAATTTTATTTACTTATTTATGTATTTATTTATTTGAGCTGGGGTTTCATTCTGTTGTCTAGGCTGGAGTGCAGTAGCACGATCACGGCTCACTGCAGCCTCAACCTCCTGGGCTCAGACAGTTCTTCTGCCTCAGCCTCCTGAGTAGCTGAGACTGCAGATGCACATACCACGCCTGGCTAATTTTTTTTGCTTTTTGTAGAGATCAGGTCTTGCTATGTTACCCAGGCTGAATTTTATTTCTAATTAAATAGCTTTTTTTTTTTTAAGTGAATATAATCAAGATTTTATTCTCTTTATAACAAAATGACATTAGAACTGGATCACTTGGCCCTTTCTCTTCTTATCTCCTCCCAGTTCAAAATGCTTGCATCTCTTAATAGCCAGCATTCTCTTAGATCTGCAGTTGGGCTCAACACACTCAAGCCTCAGCACAATCTTCTTGGTAGTTTTAGCCTTTTTCCGGAAAATCGGCTTAGTCTGCCCACCATAGCCACTTTGCTTCCTGTCATAACGCCGCTTTCCCTGGGCATACAGAGGGTCCTTGCCCTTCTTGTACTGTGTCACTTTGTGGGGCTGGTGTTTGCCACACTTGTTATAGAAAGTCCGACGGGTTTTAGGAACGTTCACCATGTTTGCGGGAGCGCTGTCTGCACGGAAAGAAGCTAAATAGCTTTTTAAATTTTAAATAAATTTTAAATAAAAAACCAGTCATGTGGCTGGGCGTGGTGGCTTAAGCCTGTAATTCCAGCACTTTGGGAGGCCAGGGTGAGAGGATTGAATTTAGGAGTTCCAGACTAGTGGGCAACTTGGTGAGACCTTGTCCCTACAATAAATCAAAAAATAAACTGGGTATGATAGAGCGCGCCTGTAGTTCCAGCTCCTTGGAAGACTGAAGTGGCAGGATCGCCTGAGCCCAGCAAGTCAAGGCTGCGGTGGCTGTGAGTGTGCCACCGCACTACAGCCTGGGCAACAGAGTGAGACTCTGATTCAGAAAAAATAAGAATAAAAAAATTTTTAAAAATCGGTCATGACTGGGCTCAGTGGCTCAGCCTGTAATTCCAGCACTTTGGGGAGACTGAGGCGAGTGGATTGCCTGAGCCAGTGAGTTTGAGACCAGCCCAGGTAATTTGGTGAGACCTTGTCTCTACAATAAATAAAAAATTAGCTGGCGTGGTAGCACGCGCTTGTAGTTCCGACTACTTGGAAGGCTGACGCAGGAGGATTGCTGGAGCCTAGCAGGTCAGTGCTGGGGTATGGCCGTGAGTGTGTCACTGCACTCTAGCCTGGGCCACAGAGTGAGACTCCAATTCAAAAAAACAACAAAAGACAAAACAGTCATGTGAAAATTCAAATAGTAAAGAAGGGCTTATATAAAAAGAGGTATTCTACCTTCTGTCCCATCTACTAATCTTGTTCCCACTTTCCAGAAGCAAGCAAGCGTTTTTTTGTTTGTTTGTTTTTGAGTAGGAGTCTCACTCTGTGGCCCAGGCTAGAGTGCAGTGGCATGCTCATGCCCACCGCAGCCTCAACCTGCTGGGCTCAGGTGATCCTTCTGCCTCAGCCTTCCAAGTAGCTGGAACCACAGACATGCTCCAGTATACTCAGCTAATTTTTTTGATTTACTGTAGAGACGAGGTCTCACCAAATTGCCCAGGCTCGTCTTGAACCCTTGGACTCAGGCGGTCCTCTCGCCTCCGTCTCCCAGAATGCTGGGATTGCAGGTGTGAGCCACTGCACCCAGCATTAGCAAGCATTTTTGATATTTCTTGTGTATCTTTCCAGAAAATTGCTTCATGCTTACATATTTTTTTTTTTTTTTTTTGAGTTGGAGTCTCACTCGGTCACCCAGACTGGAGTGCAGTGGCCGCTCCCGGCCACCGCAGCCTTGCCTGCTGGGCTCTGGCGATCCTTCCGCCTCAGTCTTCCGGGTAGCCAGAATTACAGGCGTGTGCTACCATGCCCGGCTGATTTTTTGGTTTATTGTAGAGATGAGGTCTCACTGCCCAGGCGGGTCTTGAACCGCGGGCTGGCAATCTACTCACCTCAGCCTCCCAAAGGCGCGGGATTACAGGCTGAGCCACTGAGCCCAGCTCTTACATATTTTTTAATTATTCAAAATTGATTTCATTTTTAAAAACCAACTTTACTGAGGTGTTATTTATATAAATTACACCTTTTAAAGCATATAGTTCAATGGTTTTTCGTTTTTTTTTTGAGTTGGAGTCTCACTCTGTCACCCAGACTGGAGTGCAGTGGCCGCTACCGGCCACCGCAGCCTCGCCTGCTGGGCTCTGGCGATCTTTCCGCCTCAGCCTTCCCAGTAGCCGGAATTACAGGCATGCACTACCACGCCCGCCTAATTTTTTGATTTATTATAGAGATGAGGTCTCGCTCCCCAGGCGGGTCTCGAATAGTTTTTGTTTGTTTGTTTGTTTGTTTGTTTTTTGAGTCAGAGTCTCACTGTTGCCCAGGCTGGAGAGCAGTGGCACGCTCACAGCCACCGCACCCTTGACCTGCTGCATTTAGGCGATCCTTCCGCCTCAGCCTTCCAAGTAGCTGGAACGATAGGCATGGGCTACTATGCCCAGCGAATTTTTTTTTTTTTTTTTTTTTGAGTTGGAGTCTCACTCTGCCGCCCAGACTGGAGTGCAGTGGCCGCTCCCGGCCACCGCAGCCTCAACCTGCTGGGCTCTGGCGATCCTTCCGCCTCAGCCTTCCCAGTAGCCGGAGTTACAGGCATGCGCTACCATGCCCGGCTGATTTTTTGACTTATTGTAGAGATGAGGTCTCGCTGCCCAGGCGGGTCTCGAACCCGCGGGCTCCGGCAATCCACTCACAAATGTTTACACCTGTGTGACCGGCTGTATACAGGTCTGTTTTGCCTGCAGGCAATAAATCAATTGCTGTGGGTTTTGTAAATGAGAAAAGCTTTATTTGCAAGGGCACTGAGTGAGGAAGTAGGAGAATAGCTCCTAAATCCCCCTCTTGGAAGAAAAAGCCTGAGTTAGTTATGGGTTAGGTAAGTGGGATGGTCTAAAGGGGGGAGGTTGTGACTGGCTACTGGAAAAGTGAAGTAACAGGTTCTCTTCTGTTTACAGAAAATGGCAGCATTAGCAACAAGGTTGAAGTTTTTGGCCCTCTGACATCAAAAGGCCACCTTCTGGGCACCTGCATAGGCCCATTTGGAGGGTTGGTGGTCTCAACCAGTTTGAACTGGACAGGAACTGCCCCACATTTCTGAAAAACAACTGAAGCAACCATTACCATGGTGACCCATGAATGTTATCTATAAAGTGAAGGTTAAGTTTCAGCTTTCAGTGGTGCTTTCTTTCATCTACTGTGGCCTTCAACTTCATGGGAAAAGCAAAACAAACAAACAAACAAGCAAGCCACCAAATAGCAAGCAGGGCAGGCAGATCTGATCAAATTAACCCGTAGGCTTTACCTGTGTAACCACCGTCACACTCAAGATAGAGATCCTGTGCCCCTTTGCTGTCAGTATTTACCTCTGGTTCCAGGCAATCTGATCTGTTTTCTGTCCTTGTGGATTAGATTTAACTTTTAAGAATTTTATATAAATGGAATCATACAATGTAGTTTGTTACATAAGATTTATTTCACTGAGCATGTTTTTGAGATTCGTCCATGTTATTGCATATATTGAGAATTCATTTCTTTTTTTTTTTTTTTGAGTTGGAGTCTCACTCTGTCGCCCAGACTGGAGTACAGTGGCCGCTCCCAGCCACCGCAGCCTCGACCTGCTGGGCTCCGGCGATCCTTCCACCTCAGCCTTCCAAGTAGCCAGAATTACAGGCATGCGCTACCACGCCCGGCTGATTTTTTTGATTTATTGTAGAGATGAGGTCTCGCTGCCCAGGCGGGTCTTGAACCCGCGGGCTCAGGCAATCCACTCACCTCAGCCTCCCAAAGCACAAGATTACAGGCTGAGCCACCAAGCCCGACTGAGAATTCATTTCTTAAATGAGGGGGACCCCCCCACAAAAACAGGAATTATATTTTGGAGGGTGAGTCCCTTGTAACACACTCTGAATTTGTTCCTCCAGATCAAACAGTCAACCTATGTTTTTCTATGGAAGTTTTGAGAAGCTTGTGTCAGTTTGTGGAAGAAATGTCCTGAGCTGTGACAAACAGGTGACTGGTTCTTCTAACATGACAACACACCTTCCCACACTGCACTGAGTGTTCAGCAGTTTTTGTCCAAAAAACTGACCCCATGCCCTACCCTCCTTATTCACCTGATTTTGCCCCAAGTAACTTTTTTTTGTTGTTTTCCCGGGTGAAAAAAAGTCCTCATAGGGAAATGTTTTGCTGATGTGGAAGAGGTAAAACAAAAAATGGCAGAAGCACTAACAGGCATCAAAATTGACGAGTTCAAAAACTGTTTTGAGCAGTGGAAAAAGCATCTTGATAGGTGTATTGCATCAAATGGAGAATACTTTGGAGATGACTGAAGTTTAAACATGTAAGAATACACAATTTTCAATAAATAAGTTCTGGGGGTTTTTGGGTCCCTTTCATATATCTTTGGGTAGATGTATCACACATTATTATTATTTTTATTTATTTATTTATTTTTTGAATAGGCGTCTCACTTTGTTGCCCAGGCTGGAGTGCAATGGCACAATCATGGCCACCGCAGCCTTGACCTGCTAGGTTCAGGTGATCCTTAGCCTTCCAAGTAGCTGGAACCACAGGGTTTGCCACCATACCTGGCTAATTATTTATATTTATTGTAGAGATGATGCCCATGCTGGTTTTGAACCCCTGGACTCAGGTAATCCTCTCATCTTGGCCTCCCAGAGTGCTGGGATTATAAGCGCGAGTCACTGCACAGCCTACAAATTATTTACTTATTTATTTTCTGAGTTGGATTCTCACTCCATCACCAAGGCTAGAGTGCAGTGGTACTCTCACATCAACCTGGTGAGCTCAGATGATCCTTTCGCCTCAGCCTTCTAAATAGCTGGAACCACAGGCATGCGCTACCATACCCAACTAATTTTTTGATTTATTGTAGAGATGAAGTCTTACCAAGGTGCCCAGGCTGTTTTTGAACCTATGGGCTCAGGCAGTGTCCTCACCTGGGCTCCCAAAGTGCTGGGGTTGCAGGCTTGAGCCACTACACCTGGCCCCACAAATTATTTTTAATCCTTCATTTGTTGGTGGTCATTTGAGGTTGTTTGCAGTTTTTTATTATTATGTATAAAGTCAAGATGGATATTTGTGTAACAGTCTTTCGATATTTGTGTTCATTTCTTTTATATTACTTGGTCATGTGTTAAGTGTATATTTAACTTTATAAGAAATTGCCACCTGTTTTGAAAGTAGTTATACTATTTTGCAATCCCATTAGCAAAGAATGAGAGTTTCTGCAATCTTGCTAAATTCACTTACTAGTTATAGTACATTTTTTGTAGACATTTCCATTGTACCTGGGCACAGTGGCATGGGTCTGTAGTCCCAGCTACTTGGGAGGCTGAAGAGGGAGGATTCCTTGAGCCCAGGAGTTTCAGGTTGTAATTGTGAATAGCCACTGCACTCCATCCAGCCTGGGTAGTATAGCTAAGACTCCATCTCTAAAAATCCTCCCAAAGTGCGAGGATTAAGCTGGGCTTGGTGGCTCAGCTTTGGGAGGCTGA